TGTAAAGCTAGGGTTTGGAAGGTTTCAGGTTAAATTCCTGGATCCGAAAAGTCAAGGGTTTTGAGGTATTGAATTTCTGTAGTGCTTAAGGCTTAAGGGTTCAAGGTTCAGGGCCGGATTGTGGTACTTCTTCTTCAGTGCCATATTATACGGTTGGCGTCTTAACTTATGCAAGTGGGCCTCCGAGCAGCCACGGCTTGGACCATGATGACCGTGGTCCTTTCCCACGCCTGCAACCCTGGGACTTCGGGGCATTCACAGGGACTCCCTATTTAATTTCGCTTTCCCCATCCGCAATTTAAATGCTTCAGTACTTGGTCCCGGCCAAGCAATCCTTAAGAAGATAGATGTCAGTGCTCGAGTGAAGTGGAATCAACCTTTTTGCGACAACGCAACCAACAGACACACACACACAATGACAATCTGATATCCATGGGGTCGGTTGGGACATCGCATGTTTCAATATTTGAAGGTACTATAGGTCTTGTTTCGGTGATGCGATCCCTTCGATCCAAAAGCAGTGGAACTTCTTAGAGCATGCTTTGAGCCTTCTTTTCCGATCCTAGACAGCAATAGACAGCAATGTTTTGAGCCAACACCCAACCCGGGAGAGAAAAGAAAGCCAAGGTGGAGAGAAAAAGTAGCCAGGCAAACCCTTCTAGGGACCACATGAACCCTCACCAATAGATTCTCGTCTTCAACCCAAAAGTCGTTGGTGATATTCGTTGTCATCCACCATCTGGTGAAGTTCTCTGCATTAAAGCAGGTTTGTAAAGGATTTGGTGTCCTCGTTCAAAGAAGTTAGGGTGCTCAGAACAGGTTCGTGTTCAGCATCTCGAATGCAGGGAAGTCTTGGGGCCTCAAAGTGCTCATTTGTAGTAGTAGAAGTAAAAGAAACAGCTGGCAGCATTGACACCGAAGGGCTGGAGGCTGTCTCACTGGAAACGGTCATCCAACTGGTCTCGCACTTACTCGGAACAGAAAAGCCCTGGCCAACAACCGAATGACATCCCTCGACCCCTTGAAGACCCGGACAAAGAGGCGCCATGTATTGCCCAGCGCACGAGAAGATCTGGACTTCCTCGTCTCCTCCGCTGTGGGAGGCCTGATACTGCTTCGGAAGGGCTGCGGGATAGACCGGAAAGGCAGGGTGTCCCGTCTCGGTGACCGTCAAACTCGTCAAACTCATATCGGAGAGGCCGATCTTCTTGAAGGAGGCTGTGTTGGCCTCCACGTCCATCACCATCCCGAGCCGCCCTAGGGCGGGTCTCGAAACAAGAAGAGGAACTTCCCCGTTGACGACAGCCACCTTCAGGGCAATCGTGCAGTTGCCTAAAGAGAAACAAATCACCACGGCGTACCCGGCCATGAAGATGCGAGAGGCTCCGAAGCGAAAGGCCTCTCGGCACGAAAGAAATTACAGTTCACAGCCATGCCGCTTCGCCTCCTCGATGTAGCTGTCCACCCAGCGCGATCCTGCAACGGATCGCGAGCAGGCCGTGTCCGTAATAGCCAGGAGCTTGGCCGTCTCGACGCCGCTCAAGTCCCATGTAACATGGACGACGTGGCATGGGTAGTTGGACTTCGGGGGGTCGCGTAGGCCTCCAAGATCTCGTCCACCCGCAGCTGCAGGAGTGGTGGTCGTAGACGCCGAAGGAGTCCCTTTATTGAGGGGGCACACGGCATCTTTACGCCAGTGGCCCCTCCTCTTGCACCCCGAGCAGAACGATTTTGCTTTCGCCATCTTCAACTTTTCCGCGGCCAACTGGCGAAGAGCATCTGGGTCGCTTCCTCGGAGTTTGCTGTTCTCCCTGTAGCGCTGCTTTGCTGTCTCGTGCGTCATGTAGGCGTGGTGCAGGTCCTCCGCCACCTCCTCCGGGACCCCGTCGTCGCCCGCCGCGGCGTCGTCGAAGGGCTCCTCGTTGTCGTGGTCGCCGAAGAGGTCCTCAGGGTCCGCCATGTTCGCAGAGTGGGTCCTCTTGTTGTTCCAGTCCTTCTTTGGGCCGCGAGCTTCCCATGGTTTGCGGAGGCCGCGATCATGAACTATCGCCGCTTGCTGTAGGGCCTTCAAAGAATACTGGTTGCCCACCGACGCAAGAAGATTAAGTTCAGCAGATTCTTCCAAGCCCATGCGATCAACGAAAACCCAAGCAGCCGCAACGTCGGGGAGCTGGCATCCCACCTCCGAGAGGCGCGCGTAGGCGCGATCGAAGTCCGCCATGTACTCGCGCATGGGCTGCGTAGGCTTCTTCCGCAATCTGCGGAAGAAGTCTGAAAGACTTCTTCCAACTTGTGCTACCTGCACATCCAGAGAACGGTCCTTGATCCAGGAGATCAGGTACTCGACGCCGTCGGCACTTGCGAGACGGTCCATGTCAAGTCTCTCCGCGTCGATCCACGCTCTGTCGGTGAGGTGCTGGTATAGAGCTTGAGGCCTTGCTGCTCCTTGGACATCCTTGTCATCCGCTTCCACGCCGACACCTGGCGAAGGTAGGACCTCGCCGAAGATCCCAGGTCCTCGCCATCATCGTTCGTGTTTCCCGAGAAACTCGGAACCACCATCTTCTCAGAGGGGCTGCGGGCCCCCTCTGCCGGCCTAGGGGCACTTGGCCATCTGAGGATGGCCTCCATCCATCCATCTGTCTTCCTCCTTCGCGATACTCCGGGCCCCACGAGTCATTCGTAGAAACCAATCTTCTCCAGGGATCGGAGAAGAATTCCTTGAGGTCCTTGTTGTTGCTGCCGTTCTCGATGGACCCGGAACCCGAGGAACCCGATCCCCAGGCCGTCGGGTCTTCCCACTTGGTGTTGCTGCCGTGGCCATGGCCGTTGCTCCAGTTCCATCCAGAGCTGCTCCAGCCGTGCCCGGCTTTTCCCCATGAGTGCTCTCATTGGCGATCTTGCCAATCTTCTCCACTCCTAGATTCCCAGCGCTGGCTGGGATTTCGCCACGAATCCCAAGCAGGATCTTGCACCCATCGCCCAGATGGGCGAACATCATCTCGAGGGGGTGCGGGGTCGTTACGAGGTTCACCGTCGCGCGCAGCATCATCATGTTGTCGTGCGGAATCATCACTAGGATGGGGTTCAGAGGTAGGACAGGAGTGCGCAGTATCAGAACTTGTCACGCCACCGGACGTCATTGCAGGCAAAACCCTAAGGGACTGTACAACAGACTAGCTCCTGGAGCGCCGCAGCGCTCCGCTACCAATCTAAAACTAGAAAGGCCGAAAAGCCCAACCCCTGGGCCTCGGCAACTCGACGAGGCTTTTCTCGCTTCTCGATCCACTCTTGTGCCTGCGGGACAAGTCTCTGAGGGGGGGGCTGACTTCAAGAACCTTCAAGCTTTACACTAAACCCTAAAACCACCCGTCCTGCTCTAGATACAGCAGCCAGATCTGCTGCAGATCCTGGGGTTGGGGGTTCTAGGGCTTGGGGGTTTAGGGTTCAGGGTTTGGGGTGTAGGGGTGTAAGGTTTCGACTCTCACACTCGCACAGGCAGGCAAGGCTCCTCATGGTTCGATCTCCGCTAACTCGACTGTTGAGGCTGACTCACACACAGCACTCAACCAAGAGCCTTGAATAGAGCCATTAGAACAGCCATCAAGACAGCAATGACAACAAAGATCGGCATGAGCCAGCCATAGGCAGCAGACCTTGACGACTATGCACAACATAGTGACATTACCCTAGCTGCGGGCTGTTTCAAAAGTGCTCTAGCATTTCCTGCATCGCGCCACAGACCACATGCACACACGCATCATAATTCCCATAGCAGCATGCAGACATAAATTCAGTCAATTCAATAAATTCAGACAATCCAGCTCGACTTGCAAGGCATACCGCACACGCATCCAGCCGAGCCCATGCCAGCATGTAGCCGTCTCCAGTGTCGTGCTCTTGCACAGGCCAAGACAGATCATGCAGTGCGTAGTTGCCTCGTCCCTCTATAGCAGTACAACATGGAGCCACTCAAGCACCACTCCTCAATTCAGCATGCAGTAAATTATATCCTCCACTCTCGTCATCGCAGGATCCCAACAAATTGATGTACATCAGGAATTCGATCTCATTCTGCTCAGATTCGTCATGCTATGCACCAGGACCCAGGCCAAACATGCAGATGCAGTTGTTTCCAATGTCTTGTTCTGTGAATTCCCATGCATGCAGATTCCAAATTCAAATCACACAGCAGCTCTGTACTCATCCTGCCAGGCAATACGCTCTGTGCCGTGAGCTGTCCCTGTGTCTACCCAGCCCCCATCACTGTAGTCCCGTACACAATATCGTATCGACATACAGGAACCACATACGCAGTCTGATGCGCCAAAGCAGGCCAGCCAGAATACTTGCTATAACTTCTCTGTGATCCACGCTGGGCTCGCTCGGAAGTATTCTTCGCCAGCACAGCTCCGACAAATCGTCCAGTTAGGCCATCACAATCAACGGGCATCGCATCAGTGGCTCATAGGCCACCGTCAGTGCATGAATCTGTATGGCCAGTTCTGTCGCCAGACAATCCGCCGATTCCTCGTCCAGTTGCTCCAGCAGGCTCGCCAGCCCCGCAACATTGAGCCCCGTAGAGATACGAACTGGGCGAGGCAGCAGAGGAAATGTCATGGCTTCAGTCGCGACGTGGGATGAGGGTTAGGGGTTGAAGGTTTAGGGGTTGGGGATGTAGAGGTTTATTATGTGATAACAGATTTGGCCTCAGCCAGATGGCCGGATACACCAGCCAAGCCAGAATCTGCATCAGAGGCTCCTGGCAGAAGGGAAACCCCCAACCCCGGATCAGTTAATTAAGTAATTACTTAATCAACTAGACCCTAAACCCTTAACCCTTAGCCCTTAAACCCTTAACCGGTAACCCGTAACCCCTAAACCCTTAACAGCTCAGGTCGCGAGAGCCAGAGCCAGACACCCCAGCAGGGGGCACCAGATTGGGCCAGAGCCTGGGCAGAGGCTACCAAAGGCAATTGTGGAAACCCCAGACAAAAATATCAGATGAGCCACGGCTTCACGTAGTCCGCCGGGAAGTAGACCTGACACAGAGGATTTCACTAATTAATTAGAATTGAGATACACAGAAAAAAACCTCGCTGGGCCTTGTTGCAGATCTCGTGCCATTCAAGGCCAGAGCCGTGGGTCTTGTGGTAGATCGCCAAGTCGCGCAGATAAATCTGGTGGTCTTTGGCATCCGCCAGAACTGAGTCAGATGTGGGAGACGCAGATTCAGACATCACTATTATTTAAGAAAGGACACGTAGCAAGACTTCACCCAGAGCTTCCACTTGCCCAGACCCTCCATGGAGAACACAGAGAACTCCGCAGCGGGGAACACGTCGCAGCTGCGGTCAGATTGGGAATTAGACCAGATTTCTCTGAAATGCAAACAAGAAGCTGATCCCAGAGGAACTTCACGTTCCCATTGATGCGATGCACAGAGCTGTCCGGCAGACCTTCCTGCAGAGCATTCGGGAAAACAGTTCAGACAGAAACTAAAACCCTAATTAAATGCAATAGAGAGCCTGCACGATCCCATAGATCGTCTCGTTCAGGGCGATCAATGTCGCCATCCAGCCTCGAATCGTCAACAGAGCACCAGATCAGACACGAAGCTGCAATAAATTAAAGCCACATCACAGACACAAGGCCAGAGAGCCGGATCAGAGCTTCGATAAGTGAGATAGCGTTCAAGCTCGCCTCTCACTCTAGACACCAACACTGCCCTCCTCGAGTCGTGGGCCTGAGATGTCGAATTCAGAAACCAGACTAATTAGAGCCAGCAGCCAGGTGAGCGGATTAATTACAGTGCAATCACTGTGCAAGAAACGATTGGATAAGAAACGTAGGGGCTACGTCAGCCAGACAGCACCGAAACACCGAAAACTTAAACTGCCTTCTAGCTAAGAAATGAAGGGTGCCCAACGTTTTGGGATCATTTCTTATTTCGGGGGGTTTGCCAGGTCCTGACCCTAGGGCATGGGGCAGAGGCCAGAATACGAAATGTAGGGGGCTACGTTTCTTATTTCGGTGGTTTTCCAGGTCCTAACCCTAGGGCATGGGGCAGAGGCTAGAATACGAAATGTAGGGGGCTACGTTTCTTATTTCGGGGGTTTTCCAGGTCCTAACCCTAGGGCATGGGGCAGAGGCCAGAATACGAAATGTAGGGGGCTAGGTTTCTTATTTGGGTGGTTTCCACGCCCTATGCCTTGGGCACAGGGCAGGAGCCAAAATAAGAAACGTAGGAGGCTACGTTTCTTATTTTGGGTGGTTTCCAAGCTCTAAGCCTAGGGCACACTTGGTTTCCAAGCTCTAAGCCTACAGAGCCCAAAGGCAGTTGCATCTAGACACTAAAGAGTAAAGTGTACTGTAATACTGTCTTGGTAGGGTCTGTCTGGCCTAATGGCAAAGACGTGTGATTTCAATGATGGACTTCCATGGGCTCGAGCCCGGCTAAGAAACGGACAAGAAATTAATGAAGGGTACACAGCGATTCGGGACCTGAGAAATGCGGAAATCTGAAAGTGAAAGGAAGCTACCTGTAGGGTTATACCATCTCCCTTTTTTTGGTTTCAGGGCCATGACCAATTATTGCTGTGTGACCAATTTTTGGCTTCTGAGGATTTCTGGTTGAAGGATGGTAAACTTCGGAATGACCGTTATTCGTATGCCTTCAGGACCTTTGAGCCCTGAACCCCCTCACCCCCGACCCTAAACTCTGAATTCAGTGTCCTTGCTCAAATCACCATAGGCTTGCAACCTTATCCAATAGTTGAACATCAAGTAAACAAACCCTAGATAACCCTAAACCTCAAAGTCAAGAGCCTTTGTCCACGCCGGCGGCGATCGTCACCGAAGGCTGCTCTACACAGCAGCTGGGCGTGAATGGCTTGGCTTCTGGCATTCTAGACATACATACATCTATTAGTTATTGCTAGCCATCCCCTGCCCATGCAAGTAGCACCTCTGCTCTATAGATTTGCAGTCGTCCCAGAGATGAAGGAGCACTGTGCAGCTCCCGTACTGGCC